TACAACAACATCTCAACATAGAAATCTAGCACCCTAACGTTCATACATTTGCGAGGACTCAGCCATCACTTCACATGGATTCATTCACACAAACATCCCTTCCAACTAGACTCATCAATCAACCTAGACCTCTAGGACCTATGGCCGTTTACGGATGTCCCACACCCGTTCCGTCCTATCCTGAAAGGGGTGCTCATTTAAGAGAAACCATTTCCCCCCTCCAGCTTCCTAGTAACCACCCGCGGGGAGCTCGTTGGTCCACGTGCGTCACCCGTAGGCCCACGTGCAACACTGTCTACCCGCGGCTCCCGTCCGTACACGGTCAGATGGTCACAATTTGCCACGACTCGGCATTGACTCGATCTTAAGGCGCCTATTCCTAACTTTACCCCGCCTCGGCGGTCGCCGTCCGTACACGGCCTTTCACTTTCCGCCCACGGGAACGTCCTCCGTTGGGCCAACACATCCTAGACTTTAGACGCCCACCCGTTCTCGGTGGCCCAAACAAGACTTCAAACAAGTTCATTGACACGACTTCATTCTCATATATGTTCTTATCCACTTTCTCATTCACATTCTCATTCTCATTCTCGTACTCATACTCATACTCGTACTCGTACTCATACTCATACTCATACTCTTTATCATTCTCATTCTTGTACTCAATTCATTTATCTCATTCTCATACACTTAGACTCATACTCAACTCTAGACGCCACCCGTTATCGGTGTCTCACACAATTCACATAGCATTCATATTCTATACACCAAAGCCAAGACACATCTCATTCATATTCGTTTATCCTTCACTTTAGAAACTAATGGAAGATTACTTTACATTCATCATTCAAACAACTGTTACCAATTTAACATAACTATCATCTTATGTATTCAGTTCCTTCTAACAACCTAGCTTTCATTCAAAATCATCACATGGGACACAAATCAGTCACACAGACATTCATCACCAATCATTATCCACATCAACACAAGGCAGTTCGTTAAGTCCCATTTAAGCAGTGTGAGGGTTCTTATGCATCATGATTCATTCATCTAACAACTTAACTCCCATTATGATCTATCAACTTAACTTTCAAACAAGGACTAACCAAACCCTAATTCCCGCATCAACCAGAATAGAGATTATGAGAAACAGATCTGGGTTTCGAATCACCTCACCTTAGCAAGAGATCTGAGATCTGAAGATCTGGATCTGGAAAACGAGATCTTGATCTGAGAACAAGAGAGATGGGAGATGAGATCTGGTTACCACCACTACACGGCTACACCACCACCAATAACGATCTCCAGCGACCACCATCACCACGTGAACGACAAGGAGAGAGAGAGGAAGAAGGTTCACGCGGAGAGAGAGAGAGGAAGAAGAAGCCGCGTGGAGAGAGAGAAGGGAGAGGTGCGCGAGAAAGAGGGAGAAAGAGCTGACGGCTAGGGTTTTCGTGTCTCCCGGGATTTTTCTGCAGCGCTTCGCTTCGCGTTTTGTGAATGAGGCAAAAGGAGGAGGCTGCAACTCCTTTTATAGGATGAAGGGAGGCAAACCTAGGTTTTTGCCCTAGTGGGCCGTAGGCAGGCCCATGTGCCTTAACAAAAAAAATTGGGCCACATCATGGGTTGTTACATAAACTGTGTGGCAACTTTTTACTTTGTAGTAGTCTTCACAAATAGTAGCTTTCGCAATAAAATAGTAGTTATCACAAACAAACGTAACACCCCGAATCATGTATACAGTAATCCTACAAATACAAGAAATTATTTAATAGAAAACTAACACAAACAGAATTTAAAATCTTACAAATACTAACAAAAAATAATATTTAATAGTAATTTTATTTTCCAAAAATCTTTAACAAAATAGAGTTGTAAGATTAAATATTCAACTATTTGTTTATAAATAACTAACTTTTTATGTTTAATAGAAAATTACCATTTAAAATCATAAGTCAAAAAGAACGACAAATATTCACATCTATATAGGTTTAATCTTTCTCATGTTATTTTGACAAAACACAATAGTATTTACAACAAATGTTTTATATGAGTATCTTTTTATTATTAAGAAGATTATATATATTTTTATTTTCTTGTACAACTCTAATTCTTTTATTATTAGATTTTCTACATCTTATATGATGATGTCGTAATTGTTGCAAAATTACGTCTGTCGTATATTAGTACATATGAATATGTGTTTGCACATGTAAGAAAATATATAGTTAGTCATAATATCACTTTATTACGACATCATGTTTGTACATATTGTATAGGTCATAAATTAACTTTACTATTTTTTCTTATTTAGTGTTTTCTTTCTAATTTAATTTTTAGTAATTTGTTACTGAGAATCATCAAGTAGATAATGAACTCATAAAATTATTTAACATAAGATCATGTAAATAAAAAATATTTTTATCGCCGTATAGTACATATTATTAGAAAGTGGAAAGCGGAAAAAAGAATAACGAACTTATAGAAATGAATTTTCTATTAAATAATGAGAATGTAAACATATTTATTTTTGAAAGAAGTTGTATATATTTTTATTATTAAATTTAATTTTTATAAATATAAGAAAACATAATTCAAGGATGTGTATATTAATCTCTTCTAAAAAAGATTGGAGATTAGTTACGTGAAATAAATCTTATTGAAACTTAAATTTTAATATGTAAGTTTGTATTATAAACTAGGGGATGATTGGTTGAACCATAGCTGTAAAACTTTTAATGTAGAAATTAGTCTGTAGAGTTTTTTGATTTAACTGTAAGAGATGTATCTTTAAAATTTATTGTTACAGCAACATATTTTCTACAGCAAAAAAGATGTGACTTTAGAAAATAAGAATTTTACAACCATTTTTTTAGTTTTTGATTGTAGCTTTAAAAAATAAGATAAAGCATGATTGGTGATTTAAGTGCTGTAGATAAAAATTAAAGCTAAAGTCAGCACTTACAACCCAACCAATCACCCCCTATAAAGGTACCTATAGTGGTGAGAACCCATAATGAATTTCTCAGAAACTAATTTAAATACATTTAATTCTTAGTATATTGAATGGTTAAAAAGCGGCATAATGTTTTCTTTAAATCTTGAGAAACTTTCTTCCAAGAGATGATCCTTTCATCTCTCCTCTTTTTTCTATTTTTATTCTAAAGACTTTTGGAAGAAACTCCCGACCTAAAGTCTTAGATCACAAATTTCAGATTTCAAAATTATGAAAATTTAACTCAACTGAAAGATACATCAAATCATTTATATTGTATAGTAGTAATATTTAGATATATAGGTATATGTATAATTAAATAATATCATTTGTTAATATATGTAATTGGATATATCAAAATTATGTAAAAATAATATGTTTGTGGTGTCAAACTATGTCCATCTTCCGAATAGTTACCATAATTTTGTTGTTAGAAATATTGGTTTTATTAATGGCAGAACAACACATAGATGTTTCGAGATTTGATAGATCTTCATGAGGACAGTAAATACAACAACAATCATAGTACCATGCTTTTTGAACTACTTGAAAGAATTTTTTTTTTTTATCATTCCCACCTATTATGCTATCGACTTGTCTTTGAAACTTTTGGTATTACTTTGTGAACTGGTGACCATTAAAATAGGAATAGGAATGAGTAGGAAAATAATAAGTAGGAATAAAATAAAATGAATAAAAATAAATATTTATTACTTTGATTCCATATCAATTTTGATAAGGAATATTTTTGTTCTATAATTCCTTAGAATTCAAGAAATGGCAAGGAATCATACGCATGAAATATTCCTTATGAATGATGTATTTTTTAAGGAATAAGTAGGAATTGATTATTCCCCTTCGTTCCCTATATTACCATTTAGACCCTTTATGTGACAAAATTCAGATGCAATAAACTTTTTCAGTCATACCACAAGGAGCGAATAAACAAGCTGTTATGCAACATTAGATCATTCTTATCTATGGAATGAATATTCTATATTTATACTTTTAAAATACGAGGTCACACCAAGCTAAAAAAGATTTTGCTAAAAAGTATTATGTATCAGTGACCACACAACATCTACACTAGCAAAATACAAGAGACAAAGTCAAACTTTAAACAAAATTAGTTTATCTTCGCCAAGTTTAATATTCTCTCACGGACAATTGTATGTCACATTATTATTAAGATTCACTACAACTTTAAGATTTTAAATTCTTAAAATAAACACATAACATAAGGGCAGTTTATAATGTTCTAAAATATCAAAAAAAATTCATTAATATATAATATAATGATAAAGAGATGAACTTTACATCTTGTTGATGATACAGTAGATAAATTGATGTTTGTCCAACAATATATTTCATATTGAGTCAACTATCAGAAAAAAATATTGATTTACGTTATGCATTAAGTATTTTGAATTGTGTTGTCAAACCTAAAGTCAGTTTCAAAACCTCTTGATTGCTGCAGCGTCTGCACAAAAGATTGATAACACAAAATTTGTATTTGCAAGAATTTAGGGGAATCTTATATTTGCAAGAGTTTATGTGATCAAATTTATAAGTTATAATTGCAAGAGTTTAGGTGAATCTAGATTGAAAAGAGTAAAAAAAAAAAGTTATATTCCAAAACAGTTATTAGAATAATAAACTCAGTCTTCATGAAAATAAAACACAAGCCTAATTAAAAAAGGATTCAAGAGATTTTTGAAAAAGGAAAAAGAAAACATACATATCACAAATGGGATTACAGTAAAATCCATAAGCGGCAAGGATTAGGTTCCATAAAAGGTGTTATAAAAAGAGAGTTAGGGTGGTCTTGTTTTCTCATACTCAACATACTCATCAACGTTCTCTGATTTCTTATAATTACTATGGCGACAACAAGAATGTTCTGCTTCGTGCTCGTGAAGATTCTAATGTTGTTTTTTTTTTTGGTAAAACTAATGGGATGTTGTTGCTCGGCAAAAATATACAAAGTGGGAGACTCGGAGGGATGGAGAGCAAAGAAGGGAGGTACCTATTACTCGGTGACTTCAACGAGTGGAGGGTTCCTGAAGAGAGCGACTTCTATTCCAAGTGGAGTGAGGAGAAACAGTTTCATGTGGGAGACAATCTTCTTTTCTACTACAACGACCAAGTCGATGACGTCCTAGAAATCAGCAGTGATCTTGAGTTCAAATCTTGCGACACTACTTCTCCTGTTGCCGTGCACAATGATGGACAAGATCTTATAAGACTAACAAAACCAGGAATCCGCTATTTTATTACCTCAAAGATTGGTCATTGTGAGGCTGGGCTTAAGCTTCGAGTTGTGGTGCGACCACTATCCAAAAGTGTTCCGAAGAAGATGCAATTGTCACCTTTCGACCGCCTCATCAAGTGGCTACATGAGTCCTTCAGACCTCACCCCCATCACTAATAGTTTCTTTTCTTCTGTTTGAGCTTAGCTTATTATTGTTTTCTTTCTCACTCGTTTTTGTTCTTTAGTTTATTTTCCAAAATAGTGTGTGTTTTTTGTTTATTTCTATCGTTGTGGAGAAACTTGATTCAATAATAATATTCTACCTTACACTAATTGACTCATCAGTAGCTCCACCTCCATGAAAACAAAAAAAAGAAATTGATCAAAAGAAAAGACAAAAAAAAAAGAACAAAAGACAAGAGAAAGAACAATATCCTAATATGGCACATTTTTAAAATCGAATAATGAAGCAAATAAACCAATAATTCTGATTGGGTTCTGCTCTTTCTTTCTTTACAACTCTAGATCCTTCTTAAGTATACTAGCTGCATAACCTCCGCGCAAGCGCGGGGCCGGAATCTGTATTTTTTTTGGTTATTGATTTAGTAGGTTATTCTAATAATACCAAATAATGATGAAATAGAAAGAATGTAGCAAGAGTGTAAAGTGAAAATATTGTATATATAATGTGTTAAATGTTATTTATATGCGAAATAAGGTTTATAGGAATAACTAAATTATAATATAGTTTTTAGTGTATAAAAATAGATGTCTATATTGTTTTTTTATGTTGGAAATAAATTTTATATCGGATGTCAAAACTTGATATAAATATTTATTTATAATATTTATATTTGTACTACACGATTTATCAATTTGAAAATAACTTTAATTTAAACTAATATTTGTTGTTTGGTTTTCAATAGATAGGTTTGGATATGTTTTTTTGTAATTTTGGATTTTGTTCATGAATAATGTGATATTTTTTTTTACGGCGTCATCGACTGTGGAAATCCATCCGCCGGAGTCTGATAAAAATGAAATCATAGTAACTATTAAAAATTGTAGAGAAATTACATAGTTATTTTATAAATAACAAAACTATTTATTTTATTTTATTTCACATCCATAATTTTTTGAAAATATATAGTAGGAAATATGTTCTAACAGTAAAAATATATATTAGGACATGATAGTGTCGAGTGAGACTCGTTTTTTTTTCTTTTTTTTTTGGATATTCGTTTTTTGTTCCATTTTTAATTGTTTTTGGGTTTGAGTTCGTCAAACTTTAGGATTTTTCCACTATTTTGGACTTTAAACAATAAGTCCAGAGGAAAACAAATATAAAAATATTATAACTAAAAAGCCCATATGATAATAATCCAAACGAAAAAACTAAAATACATAACAAATGTGTGGTTTGAACCCACACACTTGCAAACTTAATTAAATGCCTTATACCACTTTGCTAAAGTGTATTCATTGTTCATAGTCATTTTAAAAAAACTATAAGCTTTTAAAATTTAAATACGCGGGGTCCACTCGGCTGCTGATGTGGATAGCATTAGGAGCTTCAAAAGTGAATCATTATTATATAGATTGGAAAAACCGAACTAACCAATGTTAGCAATCAAGTTTTTGATTTAACGAAATATGTTACGTCTTTTTCAAACCAAAGGTAATGAATTTATTTTACAAATTCTTCTCTAGTATATCTCTGTACTCGGACGTAAAGATTTTGATTCTGTATTTTCATATCTCTATTCCTTGATTAAAGATAAATAAAGAATATTTTTTAACAATACAGTTCCGTAGTTTATTTATATTGTCCCTATGATAGGTTTTTTTTTTAACAACATGCATTAAAATTAAAGGAAATGAGTTTTTAAAGCCAATAATTTGGTACGTCAGGAAACAAACAAGGGGTGGGAAGACGGAATTAATGCGAGACGGGCCTTAAGGGTCTGCTTAGATAAGGCATCAGCCTACCTGTTTTGAGAACGAGTGATATGCTGGAAAGAGATAGAGACAAAGGCGGAGGAGAGAATTTTGATATCTTGGAGGACACCGTAAATTTCATTGATCTGACCTTTTTGGACGATTGCTCTGATGAGCGTTGAGCAGTCAGAAGCCATTGTGACTGAGAGAAGTCCTGACGCGAGGGTTACTTCGATTCCTTTTCGAAGCGCTAGTGATTCGGCTATGAGGGGGGAACAAACGAAATCGATAACTTAGGATCCCGATTGTGGCATGGTCAAGAGGTCTTATGTGAGATACCACGCGATTCCTACCCTTTGTGATGAGGCATCCCAAGAAGCATCAACACAACAATATGGCGTTGAGAGAGGATTCAGAACTTGGGATGAGGACTCCCTGTGTGGAAGGTACTTATTAGTGACCTTTCCTCCATATTCTGAGCTTGATTCCATTCTAACACCGCCGCTAATCCTTTTGTAGCTATCTCCGCCGGTCTGTGAACTTTATCTTCAAAAATCAGTATGTTTCTTGCTGTCCAAATTGACCAGGAGATCCAGGAGAGGATTGGAGAAAGGATTCCTATTGGGGGGAGGCACGGGGCTTGTCGGAACAATACCACTGTTGCTTTAAGGTCTTGGTCCTCAGCTATGTGAACTGAGGTATTGAGAGGGACGTGATTCCAGAATTCTTTAGTGAAAGGACAGAGGAAGAAGATATGCATTGTTGTTTCAGGTTCTTTATAACGAGGACATAGGGAGGCTGAGCTCATCCCCCTTTGCTGTAGCTCCTCTCCTGTTGGTAGTGCTCCTTGCAAAATAGACCAAATGAATACTTTTAACTTTGGTGTAGATTTTACTGACCAAACATCTTTGATCCAACTGAAATCCAGGTTTTGCCGAGGGTCTAACCCTCTTAGGGGGTTTTCTACGTTCTCAGTTGCTGCTGCTTTTGAGTTATACCTTGACTTTGTAAAGTACACTCCCGAGCTGAGAGGAAGCCACACAAGTTTGTCATGTGCTCCTTGCTTACTAGGTTGTAGGCACTGGATTTGACTACTAAACTCAGGTAAGAAGTGTTCGATTCTGCTCTTATTCCATTGCAAGTCATCCATAAGGAGGTCAGAGACCCTGAGGTCTAGTGCCGCTTCGTTGATTGGACCAAAAGGGCGTACACAGGAGCTTAAAGAAATCCATGAGTCTTTCCAGATTTTAATGTTATGTCCGTTACCAATTGTTTTTCTCAGATTGGCCATGGGAGCACACCATAGGGACCTGGGCCTCCAAAAAACTCTTCTTATGGCAATATTTACCGGTAAGCACCCAAGCTAGTAGACAACTAGGAGAAGTAAGGATCCTCCATGCCACTTTGGCCAGGAGTGCTTGATTAACGTGTTGAAAATCCCTTAGGCCTAGACCTCCACAAGCTTTAGGTTTTGTTAGTTTACTCCAGGCCACCCAACACATTTTCCGTTTTCCAGGAGAGTCATCCCACCAGAAACGCGTAAGAGCTGATTGAATTCTATTGCAAAGGCTCACAGGTAGCTGAAAGCAAGACATGGCATAGGTGGGCATGGCTGTGAGGACGGCTTTCATCATAGTTAGTTTGCCTGCCTTTGAGAGGAATCTAGAAGACCAATTAGATTCTCGTTGACGGATCCGGTCTACGATCGAGGTAAATAAATCCTTCTTTTTCCTTCCAAAATGCTCTGGTAAACCTAAGTATTTTCCCACACCTCCTTCTTTGTTAATCCCCAATATTTCCTTAGCTAGGTCCTTTGTTTCCTGGGGTGTTTTCACTGAGAAAGTTATCGAAGATTTTGAGATATTTACTTTCTGCCCTGATTCCTTCTCATATTGTTGTAGGATATCCAAGAGCGAGTGACAAGTCTCAGCAGCTGAGGAGCAGATTGTGTCGTCTGCAAAAAGAAGATGGTTAACACGGGGGCTTCCACGAGCCACACAGATTCCTCTCATTTTCCCTTCAAGCTCAGCCGCTCTGCATAAACCAGATAAGACTTCGCCACAAAGGATGAACAGGTAGGGAGAGATTGGGTCTCCTTGTTTGATGCCCCAACGGGCTTCACTGTCCCATACACAGCATCATTTATTATGAAGGAGTAGGATACGGTTGTTATACATTGCATGACCCAATTAATCCATTTGATGTGAAACCCCATTCGTGTCATTACTCGCGAGAGAAAGTCCCACGCAACCCGGTCATAAGCCTTAGACATTTCCATTTTACAACCATTGAACATTGTTTTATAGCTTGGGATGTTTTGAGATACTGAAGAACCTCATGCGTGATTAACACATTATCTGTAATTGCTCTCCCAGGGATGAATGCTGACTGGTTCTCCGTGATGATAGAATGGAGAACCAGCTTAAGGCGTAGAGACATGAGCTTTTAGATCACCTTGTAGTAGACGTTATAGAGAAATATAGGTCTGTACTTCTGCACTCTTTTTGCTATATGTATCTTAGGTATTATCCTGACATGAGTTTCATTGAGCGTAGGTGACATGGTTCATGTGATGAAGAAGCTTTGTATCTCACTGATAACAGAGGGGCCAATCACTTCCCAATTTGAGTGGAAAAATCTTGCTGAAAAGGCGTCAGGATCCAGTGCTTTATCAGCATGGATAGCAAATAGGACAGCTTTGATTTTAGATGGAGATGGCTCCTTAATGAGTTCCTCGTTCCACTCCTGGGACACACAAGGGTTGAGGGCTTTCAGGAGTGTATTCTCATTTGCCTCACCACCGTTTGCTGTGAATAGATTCTCATAGTAGCTGCAAATGAGAGCTGATATCTGCTCTTCTTCGTAGAAAGGTACGCCATCCACATTTTCTAGGACTGCCATTCTGTTTCTCGCTTTCCTGATCTTAGTAACTGAATGGAAAAAGCTAGAGTTCGAGTCACCTAAGGTCAGCCAAAGGTTTCGGCTTCTTTGCTTCCAATAGGCTTCCTCAGCAAGATAGGCTTTTAGGAGGTTTTTGTTTAATTCTTGAATATTTTCCTCTTAGGATCATCACATGTTATATGTAGCTCAAGGGTTACAATCTTTACTTCCTCTCTACACGAAAATACATTCGACATCTTGATTTGTTTGGACAAGATGGTGTCAAGGATGTGTCAGTGTATCATAAGTTTCCTATGTCGGTGTCAAGAGCTGATGAGAAAGCAATGAATGCATATAAAGCCATCTCAGCTGGCTATAGAATCGTTGTTCCAACATCAGGAGAGCCCTTGTTTCTCTATACCTGAGCTTATGAACCAAACACTGGAAGGCCTAGGATCTTTCGCCTGTTCAACAGGGATGCTAAAGATCTAGACCCGGGGACCATTGATACATGGCTTGTTGAGGTGGACTCAAATAGGTGATGAGGCTTTATTTTTTGATTTGGGCATCACTATTCCTGCTGACCACACCCTTGGTATTGAGCCAAACTCTATATTTCACCCGTAATGATTGCCGTTTCAGTTACACGAAACGTTCAACTCAATGCATCGGCGTATGTGTGTACAATCTTGCAACAAAGACCATCAAACGCTTCCCCAATCTCTCCTCCAACTTCAAACTCAGGGATGCCATGTGGTTTCTCCCCTCTTGTTTTGTTTGCTTCTTGTGTTGTTATTCTCATTCTTTTGTTTAATCTTTGCAACAAATACCATCAAATACTTCCCCATGATGTCTTCCTTGCTTTTGTCTTTGTTTCTTGTGTTGTTCAGACATTCCCAGACTCTTCTTTGTTGTTTTACTTTTTTTTTGATGTATAATCTTTTTTGACATTGCGAAATATCTCAAAGACTTGTGTTCCAAATTTGAAATTACTAGTTCAGATAAAATTATCATACACTCGTGTATGTATTACTGACGAGTTAAAACAAAATGTTTTTATGAAGGTGGGATGACTTTTACAAATTGAAACAATCATCAAATCCTTGTCGAGGCCAGCCACTTAGAGTATTTTGTAACAACGATCAAAAATAGATTATGATCAGAATCTAAATAATACAGTTGAAAATTAATTTTCATTATAGATGACATATATAAGCTAGAGAAGCTGGTTTCGAAAGAATCTCAGTCCAAGATGATAGAAATGAAGCAAGCCACACACATAAACTTTTAGTTCTTTTTGTTTCTTTTGACATCATAATTGGTGTAGGAAGAATATATATATGTGGTATCATCTGAGTACTTCATAACATAGATGGTTGCACCAAAGAAAAAAAGCAAATCTTAATAAGCAAACATAAGCATGATGATTATATTGACTAATCTTTTGATTACTTGTAAGCATGATGATCATGAGTTTTGTTTTGTCAATAATGGACAGGTACACAACTTGTGCAGTCTTTGGTGGTTAAATTATAGTGGTATGAATGAAGCTTTAGCTCAAGACTGTATAGACTATGTGGCAAAGCTTGATGCTGATGATGATCTAGCTTTTTGGAGATTGTGGATGGGAAATTCCATTGGAATTCTTTGATTGGTTTAGGACAACTATTCTGAAGAAATCAGTGACTCAAGTGTTTACCCCTTTCCCCATCGGTTTGATGGCTTTGTATAAATGTGATAATCAGCAGTTCAACTTGCGAGCTATTGTTCAAAGTGTTCTAGATGAAGCAGAGGAATGAAATTTTGTGATTCGTGTGAGCTATAGGATGGATAAGAGGTTGGAGGAATATCATGATGAGATAGCATTAAAGAAGAAAAAGAAATCAAACAGTATTGGAGGTTTATGAAGAAAACAAAGAAAATAATAATTAAGAAGTCTATTTTATGAATATTTTTTTGCATTTATTAGATATAATAGTAGTTGCTATGATTTTCGTTTATATTCATTTTTCTAATTGTTAACATTTAATCTACATTGTAAACGCGTAAGATTCAGTCAACTAATTGCAGATTTAAGGAAAATAATCATGAATCGAAATCGTAAACAATGATGTTTTCTAGACTCAATGTAATTTTGGAAACCATTATTAATCTCTTTCTAACCATTAATACATAAATTCTGATAACTCCATAAATCTAGCAATTTGAGATTGGAGGAATATCATGATAAGATAGCATTAAAAAAGAAAAAGAAATCAAACAATATTGGAGGTTTATGAAGAAAACAAAAATAATAATAATTAAGAAGTCTATTTTATGAATATTTTGCATTTACTAGAAATAATAGTAGTTGCTATGATTTTCTTTTTATTTTTTTAATCGTTAACATTTAATCTACATTGTAAACGCGTAAGATTCAGTCAACTAATTGCAGATTTAAGGAAAATAATCATGAATCGAAATCGTAAGCAATGATGTTTTCTAGACTCAATGTAATTTTGGAAACCATTATTAATCTCTTTCTAACCATTAGTACCTAAATTCTATAACTCCATAAATCCAGCAATTTGGGATATCAGCATAACTCTTAATTCATTTATTCCCATAATGTTTATTTCTAATCAAGATAGTAAATACTTTCATTTCTTTCTTTTGTTTGTTAAACTTTTTCCTAACAAAACTAATTTATGCTATCATTCTTTTTTTTTGATCAAATTTATGCTATCATTCTGTATGATTTTTTTATGAGCTATTTTCTACTCCTTTCATTTCACTTTAGTTATCATTTTATGTTTGTGCACACAGATTAAGGAAACATTTAATTTTATATATTTTCAAGATAAAAGCACAATTACCTATACAACTAATCACGTTTCAACCAATAGAAAAATAGAATATTATCTAAAATTAATAAATTTTATCTCGAAATTCTCAAACGACACTTAATTTGTAACAAAAATTAAGTCTACGATGACAAGTATTCTAAAAACGGATGGAGTATACTATCTTATATCGTCATTTTGGCTCTTATTAGTATGAATATCTGTCTTTCAATCTCAACTGCGACATGTCTTTCAAGATTTCTTTTTCTTTTTGGAAAACGAAGTCGAAGTACAGAGCTATACTCCATGTTCGAGAATGCACTAGGCGCTAGTCGGACGATACAGTTGGACTTAACGCCTAAAAAAATTAAGGAAATTAAGCAGGGATTATAGGGGGCGGAATTTTAAGTTATTTCATATTTTATAAAATATGTTAATTTTTAATTGTGTATAACATTAATACATTTCATGTATAGAACTCTATAAAACATATAAACACACACAAATAGAAGATGTAAAAAAAAAGACACACACAAATAGAATATATAAACTTAATAATTGTGTAGTCTTTTCAATCGCAAAAAAAGACACACATATATTTATAGTCTTTTGTAGGATTATTTTATACATGATTCGGGGTGTTATGTTTAACTTTTATGTTTTATATTTTTCAAATTTTCATAAATATTTCTTTGGGGTTACTTTGAATAGGGGTTCGAAGTTTAATTCATGTGGCTGCAAGTCTTAAACTATTGTTTCAAGAAAAATAAGTCAGAAATTATTATTTCAGAAATATATAAAACAGAATCAAAATTTGAAAGACATAATATGATATATATTAGAAGACTTTGAACAATAGCTCGCAAGTTGAACTGCTGATTATCACATTTATACAACTTTGAATATATATAAGAATGAAAGGGGCAAACCCTTGAGTCACTGATTTCTTCAGAAAAGTTATTCTAAACCGACCAAAGAATTCCAATGGAATTTCCCATCCACAATCTCTCAAAAAGCTAGATCATCATCAGCATCAAGCTTTGCCACATAGTCTATACAGTCTTGAGTTAAAGCTTCATTCATACCACTACAATTTAACCACCAAAGACTGCACAAGTTGTGTACTTGTCCATTATTGACAAAACAAAACTCATGATCATCATGCTTACAAGTAATCAGAAGATTAGTCAATATAATCATCATGCTTCTGTTTGCTTATTAAGATTTGCTTTTTTTTCTTTGGTGCAACCATCTATGTTATGAAGTACTCAGATGATACCACATATATATATATTCTTCCTACACCAATTATGATGTCAAAAGAAACAAAAAGAACTAAAAGTTTATGTGTGTGGCTTGCTTCATTTCTATCATCTTGACTGATATTTTTTTGAAACCAGCTTCTCTAGCTTATATATGTCATCCAGAATGAAAATTAATTTTCAACTGTATTATTCAGATTCTGATCATAATCTATTTCTGATCGTTGTTACAAAATACTCTAAGTGGATGGCCTCGACAAGGATTTGATGATTGTTTCAATTTGTAAAAGTCATCACACCTTCAGAAAATTTTTGTTTTAACTCGTCAGTAATACATACACGAGTGTATGATAATTTGATCTGAACTGGTAATTTCAAATTTGGAACACAAGTCTTTGAGATATTTCGCAATGTCAAAAAAGATTATACATCAAAAGAAAAGTAAAACAACAAAGAAGAGTCTGAGAATGTCTGAACAACACAAGAAACAAAGACAAAAGCAAGGAAGACATCATGGGGAAGTATTTGATGGTCTTTGTTGCAAAGATTAAACACAAGAATGAGAATAACAACACAAGAAGCAAACAAAACAAGAGGGGAGAAACCACATGGCATCCTTAAGTTTGAAGTTGGAGGAGAGATTGGGGAAGCGTTTCATGGTCTTTGTTGCAAGATTATACACACATACGTCGATGCATTGAGTTGAACGTTTCGTGTAACTGAAACGGCAATCATTACGGGTGAAATATATAGAGTTTGGCTCAATACCAAGGGTGTGGTCAGCAGGCACAGTGATGCCCAAATCGAAAAACAAAGCCTCATCACCTATTGAATCCACCTCAACAAGCCATGTATCAATGGTCCCGGGTCTAGATCTTTAGCATCCATGTTGAACAGGCGAAATATCCTAGGCCTTCCAGAGTTTGGTTCATAAGCTCAGGTATAGAGAAACAAGGGCTCTCCTGATGTTGGAACAACGATTCTATAGCTAGCTGAGATGGCTTTATATGCATTCATTGCTTTCTCATCAGCTCTTGAGACCGACATAGGAAAATTATGATACACTAACACATCCTTGACACCATCTTGTCCAGACAAATCAAGATGTCGAATGTATTTTCGTATAGAGATGAAGTAAAGATTGTAACCCTTGAGAACCATATCATCTACGCCTCGTAACTCCCTACGAACATCGGTCCGTAATGTAATCTCACGGTAATGAACATCACCTCTCTTACAAAACCCTAAGTACTAGCAGTTGGAAGATGTCAAACGTATTTTCGTATAGAGAGGAAGTAAAGATTGTAACCCTTGAGAACCATATCATCTACGCCTTGTAACTCCCTACGAACATCGGTCCGCTCACGGTAATGAACATCACCTTTCTTACAAAACCCTAAGTACTAGCAGTTGGAAACTCTCCACACCACAACATAGTCTCCATTATATATTGTCGTCCACCCACACAAGACCTCTAAGGTCTTTGCTAGTGTCATGATCCCAAGCAAAAGCGGTATCCTTGAATTCGTTTTCTCCCACACGTTGAATCTCATGAAGGCCACCCATGAGTGTCTCTAGATGTGGAAGTACGATTCTCTCATGGCTAAACACGTCTACGATATAGAGATCTGATTTAGAATCTATCACAAGGAACCACATACCTGAGTTTCCTAGGAACTGATACCCTGAAATATCACTCGTCGTCTTGTAAGCCCTATCTTCCTCTGGGCTGTACAGACAACAATCGTCTTCTTCTTGTGACATAATCAGCAATGGAGATCCGAATTTTGGCCGTAACGTTTGCTTGGAACACAAGTACCAGTTCGAACACACGATCTTAGCGCAGTGTAAATTGGAAAAACTCAAACGTTCCAAAAGATATCTCAAGATGTCCACTGGGAGCTCTGACCAGCCGCCAGAACTAGGAGTTTCCATGGTTTGTTGTTGTCGGAAACGTTTTTTACTTGTAAAAATATCTATGCTCTCTTATTCAATAAACTAATTAAAGGTTATTTATATGGGAAGTCAAAATCATTTTCTATATTTAGTTTATAAATAAGATAAACAATGTTGAAATAATCAATGTTAAAGATTTGTTTCTGAAAAATCAGTTTTTAATGAATTTTTTATTTTATTTTAGAAAAATCACTTTTCAGAAAATAATTTCTTCAAAACCCATTTGCACACGTCCGCGTAGGGTGTGTACTTTACCTGATACCCGAACCCAACCCGAAATATCCGCACCGAAATCCGAATCGAAGTAGTAAAATACTCGAACGAGTATTCCGAATCCGAATAGGTAATATCCGAACCCGAATGGATATCCGAAGAAAGCCGAATATATGTATATATACATATTTTATTTTACATAACATAAAAGTTGCAAACGAGATATCAACCAATGCCATGGATTCAAAAAAAAATCTAGAGTTCGCTTTTCAGCATATCGCGCAGCCTTTGATAAAATCTTTGCAACCAGAAAAGGTCATAAAAGGAAACAAGACAAGAATTTTACCAAATCGATAATCTCTTCAAACTGTACAGACATAAACTACAGCACTAACCAAGTTCTGGTTATTGGATGAGTTGTGTATTACTTCTGACACTTTGTTCAGCCGCATCTGATAGCAAAGAAACATAATGTTATTCGCCCGAGAAATCCACCCATTAGCTCTTCCTCCTCCATCACCACCACTCCTCTGTCAACTTTGTGTTACCAAATTTCACTTCTCTTGTCAGTCAGCTTCCGACGACTCGATGGAGAAAGAAATTGAGAAACAGAATTATATATTTTGATTTCTTTTGGAGAAAGGTATACAAATATAGCGGGAAATTAAGAGTTCGAAATAAAATTAATGAGCCCATACTGGGTCTAGTAGGCAAAGTTCCATTTTCATCTATTTAAACAACATCTATTTTGTTTCTAAGAGATTAACATTTTGTCATTAGAGCATTTTTAGTATTGATTTTCTCTTCTAAAATAGGTTAACTCTGTAATAGAGTTAGGCTTACTCCTATTCTATTTTATTCTTGAAACAAAAAAGTTCTTATACAATGACAAATAAATTGAAACGTAAAAAGTAGTTTTTATGCCTCCTGACTCTATCATCCCACACGAAAATAATTAAACTAAACATTTTCTGATAATAAAAGGTCATCAGTTAGTCAACGTGAGCTGTAAATTAATAGTATTAAATGATTGCTTACTAGCCAGGTTTGATTTTCCCGGACAATATCATGTATATTTCGTGGATTTTTATTACTCTTCTGTTTTTATATAATTACTAGGTGTTTGCTCGCACTTGCGGACATAATTTTCTTATGAAGATTTATTAGTTGATGTTTCATTAATTTAAAAATCAACGTAGTAAGTTATTATTTATGTTTCAAAAAGTAAAAATCAAACATCAAATAATTATCAATGACAAAACTCAAACATCAGAAATATTTAAAAAAATATATTTCTATAACTATTTTTCTTGATATATATTTAATTATAATATTTATATCTTAATTTTAAATTTATATTAGAAAAACATACTTTCAAAATAACAATATAATGCATAAGTTATTTATTTTCTGAAAATATAATATGAAATTTTTTTAACTATATAATAACTATATAAGATTATAGAAATTATGACATATAATTAAAATTATCTAAAATCATTGATAACTTAATGAATCATCAAATTCACTTTTTAAATAATTTTTCTTGCGTAATGATTTATATTTAACTAATAATAGATAATTTTTCTATTTTATTTTTAAATTGTATAATATAAAAATATATTTTCAATATAACAGCATAATACATAAGAATTACCATCTTCTCTAGAAGTATAATATTATTAGTGTAAATCTATTTCAATTATAGAATAACTACAACTTTTTATATATTAATTTTTAATTTTTAATAGAAAATATATTTTCAAGACAACAACTTAATACATAAGAAGTATCTTATTTTCTAAGAATCTGATACTATTAATAATTTTTTTTTTTTAAATATATATAAGAAATTTCATATAAAATTACATAAATTGATAAATTATCAAAATTACCTAAAATCATGGAAAATATGACAAATTAGTAAACATCAAATTCACTTCTTAAATAATATTATAGATGTTTTATATGTTAATTTTTAAATTTTATAATAGAAAAATATTTTTTTTCAAGATAATAGCATAATACTTAAGAATTAACGTATTTTCTAAACTATCATATTATTAATATAAATTAGTTTTAATTATATAATCAATAATAAACAAAATTATAGAAATTCTGATAAATGATTAAAATTACGTAGGATCGCGGAGACAAATCAACAAATTCATTTTTCAAATAATTGTTTTGATGATTTATAATTAATTCTGATTTTTATTTAATTAGTAATAATATAATTTGTATATCTTAATTTTATGTTTTATAATAGGAGAATATATCTTCTACATAATAGCCTTGTTTAGAAACTCGCTAGGCGCTACGCGTGCGGTGCCCACGGACCTAGCGATTTATTAGAAACGTGGAATAAATACGGGGAGTACTCAGGGAGAAATTTTTTTTATTTTTATGTATAATACTCTATATATACGTATAATACATTTATGTATAATTTATCATAAATACTTAGGTTCATAATTTATAAATAATATCAAATTCTATGAGATTTAGGGTTTGTTTTAGCAATTATTATTTCAGAACAAAAGGAAAAACTCAGGTACAAGAAAAAAACAAAAAAAACAAAAAGAAGAAGAGAATTTAGTTTTGTGTCGGGGAGAAGACAAGAGAACTTATGATTTCGGGCTTATTTTGTTGGGATATCATAAATTACTGAGATAGAAATCACAAATTGGGCCAGGCGAATTCATTAATAAGCCGGCCAATTTTTCAATTCCACGTATTATGCGTCTGTTACACGGCCCAGCGTATAATACATCTGATTTGTCCCGTATCGCTACACTCGACCTCCGCGTCACATATACTCGGCCGGGTAATCGGCTCCACGGCCGAGTTTTAGTACACAGCAGAATAACATAATCCATAATGATTATTTTATTTTAGAAAAATATTAAATTATTAATATAAATTCGTTTTAGTTCTATTTAAATATTAAATTATTATTATAAATTCGTTTTAGCTAAATATAATAATGTGTATATCTTAATTTAAAATTTCATTTTTATATATAAAAATATATTTCAAGATAACAACATAATTCACAAGAATTATCTTATTTACTAAAAATAGGATATATTCATATAAATTCGTTTAATTTGTAAATAAAAAATATATATAAATATTAAATATGATAAATAAACAAAATTACTTAAACTTATGGAGAATATGACAACTAAGCAAATTTACTTCTTAAATAATAATATAGATTGTTGTAGGACAAATTTTTTATTTGAAAATAAGTAGTATTTTATATTTTCAATGTAAAATTTATTAATTTTATCAATATTTATATTTTTCTATTGATTGGAATATGGTTAAGTATATAGTTAATTGTATATTTTTAGAAAATATGTAAAATTAAATATTTTTTAATATGTGTACAAAAACTCAAATGACAATTAAACTGAAACGAAAGAAATATTAATTTTTGTATTTCCTGAAAGTGTTTGAGAAAATTAGAAGACATTTCGAGGTTTTGACTAGGAATAATGATATTCTGCCAAGACTATTAATTTACCTAAAATTATTATTAGTTTTTGTATTTTTTTAAAGTGTTTGAGAAAAGTAAAAGACCTTTATTGGAATAATGATACTCTGTCAAGACTATTCATTTAACCAAAATTATTATTAGTTTTTGTATTTGTTGAAAGTGTTCGAAAAAATTAAAAGACATTTTGGGGTTTGACTATTACTATTCTTTCTGTTTTTTATAAGTTTCATTTTATATTTTTTGTACATAAATTAAAGAAATAATTAATTTTATATAATTTATATATAAAAATATAATTATATATATCTAATTATACTTTAACCAATAGAAAAATAAATTACATAATACATTTTGTATTAAAAACAATATTTATTTTGTAACAAAAAAGTTTAGAGTGTGATATCCCTTATATATTAAAAGAGAAGCATTTTGCATTAAATGTTTTCACACCACATTCTCACAATTTATTACCTTATTTACTATCTTCTCACAATTTATTATCTTATTTACTACATTCTCACAATATATTACCTTATTTACTTCAACAATTGTTTACCTTATTTACTTCTGTTATAAAACACACGAGATACTTTAAAACTACAAAGTTTAATATCGCATGAGACAAGTTCGGAGGCAAGTATATTGGCTTGAGGGTCGATGTCAAAGTTCTGGAACGTCGTTATTAGAGCGGTAGGACGTATCTAAGATGATGGATGTGAAGGGCAACGTACCGGAGCCCATGAACGCGATCTTGGTTTGGACATGGCTCGTGTGTAGCGTGAAGAGATTGAACTCAACCTTGCTAAGTTTGAGGTAGTTAGTGTACTGAGGATAGATCTAAATGGTGAAATGTGTTGTTTCTGAGAGATCCCAAGGCCGTATAGTAGTGGTGCTCTGAAAACTCTATATCTTCACTACGTAGGTTGGTGAGATTGGTTCTGTAGTTTTGGACTTTTGGACACAAGTAACGTCGATTTTTGTATCCATAGGCAAGGACGTGGACATGAGCTATTGAACAAATTGTCGACATAAATATGTGAAAGGTTTAAGGGCTCTTGAGATTGGAGATTTCGTTATACAAGTCGAGAATTTGCTTCTCGAAATGAGCCTTTTCACAATCCATCTCGAGACTAAAAGGAGATTTGGGATTGTCTCAATACTCTTAATGGTATTGACAGCAATATACTTTCATCTTACGTGTTTCCATGTCGTGTGGATGACAAAAAAAACAGATATATGAGACAAAATCGCAGTTTAACCAAAAAGACAATATTTATAATATAGATATATAATTGGACGATATTAAAACCCGAAACAACCAATCCAAACAAACTAATATGCAAATAAAACAGATATAATATCTTTTTATCTTCAAAAAATACAACAAATTTAATCATCTCATTCCGCGCAAGGCGCAGATCTAATCCTAGTTTAATATAAAAGGAATGGAGTATTAGAATAATGATATTCTGCCAAGACCATTAATTTACGTGGCGGGCTTCTAAACTATACCTGTGAATCTGTGATACAGTGGATTGACATGTGGACAATTAGTTACGTGTCAGTCTTAATTCTTTGCGTGTTAAGTATGATTACGTAGGTTTGTTGAAAACTATTTTAAAATAATAAAACCATAGTACTCTCTCCATTTTTTAATATAAGATACTTTGTTTAAATGCACAAAAATTAAAAAAAAAATTACGTTTTGAAAATAATATTATTAATTAGTATAAACTAAATTTAAATTAATTAATCATAAATAATATAGTAGAATTTAATTAGTTCATCTGTTTTCAACAAAACTAAAACAATTTAAAAGTATCAAAACATTTTATATTTTAAAACATCAAAAAATTTCCAAAACTTCTTATACTGTGGAACAGAGGGAGTATTTATCGTCATTAATAACACCATTTAAGCAAAAAGAAAACTTCAGTTGTGTCTGGTGGATTAGTGACAAGAAACGCACAGAAGGTTTAAAAGCCTACCAACACGGTTTCTGGAGTAATTATTTTCTTTTTTTGAACTGATTTTCTGGAGTAATTATTTTGCTTACAGTCTATTACGAATTTACGATATTGTAATATTTCAGAACTTGATATTGTTAATTTGTTTTAACACCTTAATACTGTTCTTTGGGAGGATCAAATGTTTATGTTCTTTCACGATTTTAAGTTAATAAACCTAAAACCAAGATTATCCAAGTTCCAGTGTAGGATAGAAAACTAAAAACTGAAGTAGAAATAGTTCATGAAAGCTTAATTTTAAAAAAGTTCATGAAAGCTTTATTGTGCTCAAAAGTAAAATAAGAGAAGCATATGTCAACGACTCAAACACTCTTTTTTTAAACGACTCAACACTTAACACCACGAATATTGAGATGTGGTATATGACATTCAATATATATAATTTCAATTGATTGTGAGTCCAGAATCCATAAACCTCTTACCTACTACACATATATACGTATATAACTTTCATCATTACTAACGAGCCGTTGGTCTAGCTGTAAAAAGTGCGTAGAAACTCCACCATTCAAATTCAATTCTTGTTGGAAAAAATATTTACTTTATTTATATTGTCCGTAAAGAAGGGAAACTACATTTTCATCAAAAAAATATAACTTTCACTGTTTAGCTAATTAGTAACATGCATGAAAATATAAATCTTAGCCAAAATAATAAATCAACACACATCATAAAATCGTATAAACAACTAAACTCGCGATAGTATACATATAACAAAGTCTCCAAGATTCTTTTTGCCTTTCTGGTATTAGGTACTCCCTCAATTCTAAGCAATGCTATTCTAAGAGATACGTTGAATTAGATTTTCCGTAAAACAAAAAACCTCATAATTAATAATATATATACCGAGAACCATAGAACTAGAGTTTCCAATTGGAGGGTGCTTTAACGACTAAATTTTTTATATGTTAATTGAGAAGCATTATAACATATAAACTATATAATGTGTCATTATCACAATAATTAGAGTCCTAAATAACTTGGTTTATCTAAACATGTATTATATATTTTTATTAAACTAACCATAAAATTAATTAGTAGTATACAATTCTTCTTTCTTTCCTCAAGTAAAAGTTACATAATTACATAAAATGATTAAAATATATGACAATTAATAATTTTAGAAACAAAGATTTCAATAACAGTTTAAGTTCATTTTGTTTAATTTTATATTGTAAAAATCAAATTAATCATATGATAAAAATTAGTTTTTTCGTATATGTTATATTTTGAATTTTCGTAAATGACTATAAATTATTTAAATGTTAAAGTTTGACATTGAAATTTTGTGGTCATCATTTTTTTGTTATAATAAGATACAAATGATCATAAAATCTTCATCCTCAGTTAATAGATATTCATATTATAACTATCTTTATATTTTTATATCGTTTAAATTAAACTATATACCATATAAAATATACAAATATTTTATTTTCATAAGTTTAAAAATATGTGCAATACTTGAATTCATTAAATTTAAATATTTTATACTTTTAATTAGATCAAATCATTAAAATAAAATTTAATATCATTTGTTAGTATTTGAAAAAGTAAAGTAAAATAATTGAAAATAGAACACATGGATTATTCAGTATCAATTATTTTAGATTTATTACCAAAAAAATATGTAAAATAATTGAAAATATCTAATAATTATCCAAAAAATAGTCGCAAGTAATTATCTAGAAATAACTAAAATATTTGAAACACCTAAGCCATCAAAATATCCAAACCTCACCAATTTGCATATTTATATTAAGTACTTAATCATATATTATTCAAATTTATATGTTGAATATTATTATTTTTAATTTGGAAGATTTTAAAAATATATTCAAAATTTGAAACCTTTACATAATTTAAACTGATACACAAATCTGAACAAAACCTTTAAAGATCCAAACCAAACTTATTGAAATTTTAAAATATGTGAAGATGGCATAAATAATTAAGTCAAAAAATCCGAATCCCGAATATATCTAAACCGGTTTCATATAATTATCTTGAAATGTTTCATTATCATATCTCTTATATTTGTAAATGTAGATTTTGAATCCGGTTTCATATAATTACATTGTGTTAAAAATGTAAAAATGTTTTTACAGAAGGAAACTTATATTTTTGGTCAAGAACATAAATAAAAAGATAAGTCAAAACAAGAAGTGTCAAAATGCATGAGGACATTTATAATGGACTATCTTTAGGTTTAAGACATTTATTACTCTGTATATTTCCCCATTCCTGTTGGGGTCCCAGTTTCCCATTAACCATACTCATCTAACCATAGTTAAATCATCAAACCTAAAGCCCTGTCCTTAGAATTTTTAAAACAAATAAATATACGTTTATTACACATATTTTATTAACTTTCTTTTATTCTGTCTTAGCAACATCCATCACCAGATTCACTATCATTTTATACCATCTTCCTCATCTTCCAAAAAGGTTATTTCTTCCTTAAACATATTAAAATAAAACGATCAAACGGATCTCTAAAACCTCTTTTCATCCAACCTTCTTCCTTCCGGAGTTTTTATTCTCAGTTTATTAATGTTTTGAGCTTAACCTAAACCCTAATTCTCGTTTTCTTTTCTCACAAGATTATCTTGAAATACAAATGCTTCAATCAATGAATATAACTCCTAAATCTCCTGAACCCGAACCCGAAACTCCAACCCGGATCCAACCAGCCAAACCACTCTCCTTCAGCAACGGTTTCATCAAACGCCACCACCACCACCCAATCCCCATCACCTACAAAGAATGCCTCAAGAACCACGCGGCGGCGACTGGCGGTCACGCGCTAGACGGTTGCGGCGAGTTCATGCCTTCCCCTTCTTCCACACCTTCCGATCCAACTTCTCTCAAATGCGCCGCCTGCGGTTGCCACCGTAACTTCCACCGCCGTGACCCTAACTCCTCCTCCCCCGCTTCCGCCGTGCCTCACCACCCTCCTCCTCCTCGCAGCCCTAACTCCTCCTCTCCGCCGCCTATCTCATCCTCTTACATGCTCCTCGCTCTCTCCGGTACCAAGAAAACGGCACCGTTCTCAGATCTCAACTTCGCCGCCAACAACCACACTCCGGGCTCTAGGAAGCGGTTCAGGACGAAGTTCAGCCAAGAACAGAAGGAGAAGATGCACGAGTTCGCAGACCGCATCGGGTGGAAGATTCAGAAGCGAGACGATGACGAGGTGCACCGTTTCTGCCGTGACGTCGGAGTTGATAGAGGCGTGCTTAAGGTTTGGATTCATAATAACAAAAACGCCGTCAACAGCCGCCGTGATCTCTCATTCTCCGGCGGTATCACCGCCGTCAAGATGGTCGATGACGGCGTCGCGGGAGAGAAGGATAATAACAAAGCCGAAGATGATGGAAACGGTTTGGAACAAGAGTTACACCAAGGCGGTGGTGGGAGGTTTGAGAGTGATAACGGCGAAGGTAACGGCGGAAACATTAACGGCTCGTCGTCGACGTCGTGAAGAAGAGAAAGTGTTGTTGTTTTGCAGGGGAAGAGCAATAAGAGAGGTTAAGCTTTTTGTTTAGCTTAGATCATTGAGAGTGAGTACTGCTAATAGCATCGTTTAATACGTTTAATTTATATTAATTAAAACTGTTTTTTAGCTCTATTTATTCTGTTTCATTTGTTTTCCGAGTTTAAATTGAGATACTAATTACTCGCTAAGTAGTCTCTAGGAGGTAATAATATAATACGTTCAGGCGTTCATTAAAACTTTCCATAATAGGGAGGTTAATATTAACTAATCACTTGAATTAGTAACTATATTATAAGTCGATTTTAGGTAATAACTTGAACCCTACCCGCTAAGTAGTCTCAAGGAGGTGATAATATAACACGTTCAGGAGAGTTCATTAAAACTTTCCATAATAGGGAGGTTAATATTAACTAATCAACTGAATTAGTAACTATATTATAAGTTGATTTTAGGTAATAACCTGAACCCTAAAATGTGAGTGGGATCTAGTTCAAACTATTATTGTACTTGATCGGACGTAGAAAGTGCAGGGTTCCCACAAATTAATTAATAAATCAGTGTCATAATATTGTTTGGCTTCTTATCTCGAAAGTAACTTTGTCGCTTAATTTAATAGGCGATCTAACCAAGATCTATGTGTCCTTTTCGTAAATCTGTCTTTATTATTTGAGAAAAGAGACAAACTTCTTTTTCAAATGTATTTAAATATTAAATTATTATGTTATTCTAATTTCTAATGATTAGTTCTTTTGTTTATTAAGAACCCAAGATTCATTGGATAGTCCAGATTAGTTTCCTAATTAATCCTTTTTTTTTCTCCCATGCGTTCTTACATTGCCAGAAGGCCACTATCCGTTTTTGGTATATAAACGTAGAGAAGCAGTCGTGATGAACAAATGTGGGCTTATTAGCAAACAAAACTAGAATATATTATAAAATATGTAATTAGATTTGAATATTGTGTTATTTCCAAACGGGTTTTGTTGGTATAATATTTGATAAACAAAATTAAAAAATATATTTTGCCATTATTTAATACATTTCGTGAAGTTACAAATCTCTTTTTCGTGGTGGGGACTGGGGACAATACCTTTTTAACATAGGCTGAGGTCATGGCCCTAACTGCCATCTACCATGTGCACAGTGCACCACTTACTAATTTGATATTTCCTGACGTAACTAAGGCTAACAAAATCGTACATTTTATTTTATTGTATATAAATTTCTTTTTGTAAAATAGTTTGTTATCTGGTATATATAATAGCATGTGTAGATATAATAATTAAAAATTAAAAAAGGGCAAAGGAAGGTCTAAAATGCTGAAATGATTTTACTATGGAAAAGGAACGAAAGGTAACCAATAAAAGATAATCTGTGATTTTTCAAAAAAAAAAAAGATATCTGTGAAACGCGATTTATAACACATTCAACGCTTTTGTGTGTTTAGTGTTACCATGATGGTTAGACTTGCATTACAGTCTTGAATAACTTTTGTTTAGCACGTACCACCCACTACAAAAAAACTTCAATGGTTCTTGTCTTCACATTTTTACCATGATAGTATGATACTTAAGTCTTGCAAACGAGTTTAATATTCATATGTAGAAAAAGAAAGCATGAAGTGGGATAGCATAAACTGGCCAAATGCTTATTCGAAGAAAGTTGAGATTTGGGGAATCAAGGACCAAATTGTGTATCTTTCTCCCACTCCTTTTAATTATAGATTGAATGATTTCTGTATTGAAAATACAAAGGAATCTATGTGCATTATCTAGATAACATCCTGGGGTTTTTGCCAAAACTAACCCACAACTTGGTTTTAACCCCAATACTAGACCCCAACTTGAATCAAATGCAAATCTAACCTAAAAGGGCTATGAAATTATAATATAGTCCTCTGTGACCAAACAAAAAAACAGAAGACATTTTTACGAATATAACCCTAGTAAGTTGTCTGAGTTGGGCTGAGTTACTTTTCAGTCGTCTGGACGACTGAAATGTTAGTTGTCTGGAAGATTGAATCTTAAAAATAATTTATAAATTCTGTAAAAAATATTTTCATGAGTGAAAAATTAAAAACATGTA